AAAAGAAAGTGGTTAAACAGGTAGCATTTGTATGCACATATATGGGTTTTGGTTAGCTGAAAAACAGACGTTTTTAAGTAAAAGCTGGCAGGTGTTCATTCTACAGTGGAGGAGTATTCAGCAAAGAGGATGACAAGAGAGCAGAAGATGACAGAACAGACAGATGAGGGGTTGAGCAGCTCACACAGTAGGTCTCTTTTACAGCTGAAGAAACATTTTTCAGCTGTTTTAGTTATAAATAAAAGACAAAAAGCTGTTATGTCTAATATTTAAACATGGATCCACTCAAACTAAGGGTTAACCAGGACCCTAAACTTGGATTATGCAGTGTTCTTTCTGGGGGAAACAGAGCCTCAGGATACCCTCAGTGGAATTTGCATTTTCCTCTCCTGAGCAAACAAGACATTTTTCTATATTTAGGCAACACGACATAAAGGATGTTATACAATGCCATGCTTTTTAATAAGAAAAACTTTATGTCTGATATTCTGAGTTACATCAATTTGAAAAACTGAAATGAAAACACAATTGCTATAGTTTTTATTTTTGTTCACAAATTGTGTATTTGAAATGTTGTACAACTGCCTAAGAGATGCAAGGACATTGTCTGTGACTGTAACTGCACAACAGTGGAACAACATCATCATAGTCAATAAGCCCAGGCCTGAAAAGAGATGTGTGTTATTGACCCCACAAGGCATATCCAGGTGTGATGTATGGCTTATGTAATGACTGTTGATATCTTTCTTCCACAGCTTAGCCATGCCCCCCACTTCCCAGGAAAGTCATGGTTTGTTGGATCCATAACCAATAATCAAGGAGACACAATGAGCTTTCGTTCGTTCCCTTTAATCCACAAAGACAATCTGATCAAAGTCGGACACCATTTGGCCCAAACTGAAATATTAGGGTTATAGTTTTTGGACACATGTGAATGACTCATTGGTGTGTAAGGATTCCCACTCGTATCTCTCCTCTTAGAGTTAAAGAAGGCCCTCCACGGTTGAGTAACACTGCCAGGTTATAATAGGAACCATTACAATGCCAGTCTTGCTCTGTCAGAGCTACGATCCAGTGACTCTAGTCTGTACCAATGTGAGGTTGTGGTGGGAATCAGTGATGAGAATACAGTTCTGTTTGCTATATCACATTGTAACACGAGAGCATTCTTGCAAGCACTCACAAAACAAACAATAATGGTCCTGTTTCTGTGTCAGCCATGGCACACTCAAACACTGAAACCCTGGTAAAAGTAACTGGGTAATACTCCACCAGAGTCACATTATTTACAAAAGAGCCTTGTTTGTTGTGGTTTCTCTGGATGTTAAGGTTATTTTCTGTATCATTGCACATCTATCAGTGAAATTAACAGATTACTTGGAGGTAGGTGTAGAGCTCTATTAAGATTTTTCTCATTTATAAGTTATTACTGTAATGAACACAGAATACATAATAAATGCTGTTTATAATCTACTATGTTATGTTTGTGTGTTAATCTCTGACACTTTGTCTTTACAATTTTTTAATTTCAACAAGGATATGTGACTTCCACCAGCAAGGAAAATGTCCTCTATTCTCTATTGAGCAAGTCCCCAACAGGATCTATGGGGGACCCTGTGTTGGGCTTCTATTCAATTGTCTAATCCTTTAAAAGACCATGAAAAACACTCTTTCAGTGGGAAAGCAATCATGAAGCTGGTGAGGAGTAACCATCTCCAGGGCTTAGTCTTAATTGCCAGTCATGCTACATAGCAGACCAGAGCTGTCCTTGTGTTAATGCTACGGTTTACTGAGTGTATTAGTCAGCAGGAACTACATCGCTATGTTGAATTCATCCAAATCACTCCACTCAAAACCTGTTTTATCCCCTACCATCTCTCTCTTCCCTGTTTCCCTGCTGTCTCTGTATTTGTCTAACCTTATTTAGTCTCTTGTTTATTGTGTCTTAACACATATTGACATGTCAGGCGGTCCTGCCTCAACAATTATACCACAGAGGCATTGATCGCATGTGTTAGCTTTTGTGTGCCCTAGGGCATAGCTGCCTTTTGTTACCGAATAAGAAAGCAAAATATATCAACACCTGTGCAGTATATTGTGTTTCTGTAAATTCAAAATAGTTTTAGTGAGGCAGTCATGACGTTTAACAAAGTATATCTGGTCTATGTCCACCACAACATCTGCCTCTATGACAGGAATTAACTGTTCCTTCCTTCACCTCTTCTTTTCTGTAACGTTAACCTCATCAGCACAGTTCCTCTGAATTGATCGACCACAAAACGTGGAACAATAAAACAGGCACACTTAAACTTGTTAAGTGGAATCTTTGTAAACCAGGCCCAAAAAGGTTTTCTTCTGTTGTGGACAATGATTTTCTGCCTCCACTTTCCCCTCATTAGTTAGTAACAATGTGCTCTCTTTCAGCTCACAAGCCGTTTCCTGGATGATTTAAAAAAACAATTGACAAGTACATTACCAAGAGTCTAATGCATTGTATGTCCAATGACAAAACACCAACTTCACAGTTCTCGACCTTTCAGGCATGTGATACCACAGCTTTGTTTATTTTCACACTTGTTCTTGATTTTGGCTTCATGTTTTTTCTGTTAGGCTAACGTGTCTTCATGTATTTTGGAAGCCAAGTCAGGAATATGTCTGACACCGTTTCTTTACATTTCAGTGTATATAGACCAAACCCTGCTGTGTAAGTACTATCCATAGACGGTATATACTATGGACAACTTAGCTCCACCAGTAAATGGATTTGAAGCCAAAAGTCCCTCTGTATTTCCGCGATTTTTCTTCATTTCCTGAAACAACCAGCAGGGGAGGCGCTGTGATGATGCTTCGCTCGAGCAGCATAATCCCCAGGTGAGCTACACAGTCTTCGTATACCCATAGGCTGTATCAAGTGTCAATCATAGAAAACATGAACCCCCTAATAACTTTTGAAAATGGAGCTGTACAGAAAAAAAAGGACTTAAGCACAAACCAGTCTTACAGTAAGTACATGTCAACATCACAAGCAGGGGGGAGAAAAATTATATTCTGTGCAATAAATTTCTAAAATTTGTCCACAGTTCCGTAAGGATTGCTGGAGGAGGTGGGATTTATGACCTATACTGCAGTGCGTCACCAGAGGGTGCTGCTCTCGGAGTGGCTTAAACCAGTGAGGAGGCAGACGGCGTCCATTCTGAATACGGTCTATGGTACCTTCCATTATCCTGGATAAGGGTTGACCTCCTTTCAGAGGCAAACTGTAACTCTAACTCCTCTTATTAAATCTATTTGAAGTTACTTAGACCTTCTTCAGAGACCTAGTGGATACTTGTTGAATTTTTACGTCTTGGTAAGTTTCAGAAAAGATATAACAAAAGTTTTTCTGAAGGAGTTGTTTCTCCATTCATTTCAAAGCAAGATAATTGTCTTATTAATTGTGTCAAGAGTTGAACAGCTGCCTGAAGGAGGATTTGCTGACTACAGTGATGAGATTGGTTCAAGGTTTATTATCTGAAAAGTTTATGTTTAATTTCAAGAATTTCATCATTTCATGAAATCATTTCATTTCACAACATACTGGCATTAAGCACAGGCTAAAACTGCTGACTTCCTGTTTTCCTCTCTGGAGATGTGTAGAGACATCTGAAATTACTGAGGATCAAAACAAAAAGATGAGGTATTGGACTTTTGTGTTAAAAATATTTATAAAATTTTCTGAGGGATCAAGTATTGTTACAAAATGAATGCACTCCAACACTTAAAATATATCCTGACAGTAAAACTTTTCACTGTTTCTATAAACAGAGCTGTCTATTATAATTGGACCTAATTGCTTGTTTGCAGACTGAAAAGGCAGTTAACCACTGCTGTCCTCTGAGCTGTCCATCAGACTGCTTTCTGTGTGTCCGTATATAGCATCTTCTATTAAGTCTATTTTAACATCACCAGTCAGGGTTCCTCTCTCAGCTGTGTTCTTTAAATCTTTATTTTAAAATTGAGTTGTTGTAGTTCTTGTACCAAAGCAAATAAAAGCAAGTTAAATAGTCTTCTTGAATGTTTTCTAAACCTCAGGCAGCATGCTTTCCCCAAGTTTTATCTTCTTTCGTTCCTTCTGTACACTCTTGTTGTTTATCACTTGGGATACCTTTAATTGGCCAGATTCAGAAAGCTCTGACTGCACATCAGCCAGGAGGAAAGAGACTCCACACACACACACATCCTACCCTCTACTCTTGGAAAAATGCAGCATTTGCCATCGCTTCATTCACCACTGAGTAGAAATAAAGAGACAAAGACCAAACACTCACAAGACTTGGTTTTCTTCTTATGATACACATCTAATAAGACTAAATTTGGTTGTGTGCAGGTACGTTAAGCATTTGATGTTTTGTTTGAAATTGTAAAAATAAATGGTAAATTGACTGTGTTTGTAAACACTTTTTAGTTTTTTCCATTTTAAAGTACTTTTAGTATTTTTTTAATTTGTCTCTTAGCCTGAACCAACAAGACTGCGAGATTCAGTGGTTTCATTGAGTGATAACTCAAATGAAGACTAACCCATTGTATTCTCAAACCTAATCCTTTGACCCTTATCTTCCCCCCTTTGTTTTTACCAAAGTGATTCTCTATCACATTTCTTGGTATGTAAGGATGTACGAGTCTTTATGTACTACTCAGTTTTAAATTTCTCTCAGTTTCACACAAAACACTGTGTTTAGTTTTCCTAATAGGCATAATACTTCGTATCAGCTACAGTAAATATCAGAGATAAAGATGGTGTTAAATTTAGGCCAAAACATTTTTAAAAAGGTTCAACTGACTGTCATCAGATTTTAAATATATGCAAAGGCAGAGTCAAGTTTATTTTCAGTGGTCTTTTTCAATTACACTGCTTTACAAATCTCTCTCTTTTTCTATATCGAACAGAAAGTATGTCAATTTTTCACTTTCTCTGTCCCTTGACTTTCTTAGTGGGCATCTTCTTTAGTCACAAGGTTGCCATGTTGCTTTATGGTGATCAGGAGGCCTCACCTGGAGCACGGGTGAGTACTCCAGGTTAGTAATATGTCTCCTGCTTCGCAAAGTGGCTTCAGGGTAGGATTTAGTCATGGATGGGTTCACTGAGCTGAGGGTGTGCAGCAGCGTAACCCTGTGACCAGGCTTTGATACTAGACTGGCACAGGTAAGGGACCATGGAGGAGCTTTTGGTACAGGGAGCAAGAAAGGTGCATCATACTGTGTCCAGCTGTCATTGTCTGACCTCCTGCAGACATCAGTAGAGTAATTCTGAAACGTTATGTCTTGATTTAACTTGCACAGTCAGAGAAACAGATGAAACAGGATAAGGATTGTCAAATTTAAGCTTGCGTTTATTAAAGTTAGAGTGAATTAGTATCTAGCAAAACACATGTGTGCCACGGCCCTGACAATTTGACTTCTAAATCAAATTATCAAACAAGTAAGGCAATAAACCCTGCCAGATGAAACTGCAGCCCACAGTGAGACCACAGCTATGGGCATCACTTGGGCAAGCCCACTGTGGGCCTGTGCAGGTTAGGTGCAGGCTGCCATAGCCCTCACTGCCCACACACAACCCGCACAGGCCCCTCAGAGGCTTGCTTGCAGGGAAGTCATCTCCATGCCATGTATTAATTCTGCTCTGTCACTGAACCAGCTGCTTCCAATGAGCAGCCAGGAAGGAGAGCTCATTAGTGAAGGCACCTGGTTCAGTAACTGAGCAGAACAAATACATGGCATGGAGATGACTTGGTGACTCCACATTTTCCCATCTCTGGTTACCGTTACATATTTTCTTCACACATAACCTGGTAACCCAGAGATGTTGTGACTTTTGTGTTTCTTGGGTGGATGAAAGTGTTTTAAATGAGAATGAGTGAGTAATACAGAGGGAGAGAAGAAAGTGAATTAGACTGTGACAGACAAAGTGCTTCCAGGGCTTATTTTTGATTTCTGACTTCTATTTAAATCGTTAAAATTGCCTGCTTATCAAGTTTCCTTGATGTAAATCATCAGTGAGCTTGAATCCTTTAAATCAGCAGTATGAGAGCAGAGCATTTGTCAAGACACCAGGCTGGTGGATCTGATGGTCTTTTTATTGCAAGAGCAGTTGTGCTGCACATTTACATATTTATAGAAAATAAATGAGGACATCAGATACTGTATCCATGTTTTATGCCAAGTAATTCATTTTTTACATGAAAATAACAGGGTAAAGAGTGTTGTTGACAGACAACACTGAACATCATTTAAAATAATTGGAGTTTATTGTAGGAGGAGAACCAGACCCATGTGTACAAACATTTTTACTTGAACTCAGTTAAGTGTGCTCTTTCTTCAATAAGCAATACCAGTTTTCATTCAATAGAAAGAGAGTGGTAAAGCAAGATTCAGAGCTGTGTTTTGTACTGGCTGAAAAGGCGGGTCAAGTAAACAGCACATTTTTTTTAAGTGAAATGATTCTTTTATGTCTTGTGCCTCGCCAACCAACTGGGGTCCAGGCTGCACAATCACAGACACTGAACTAGAATGCCAACTCAGCAGAGGCTATCTTCTGAAACCCAGCACAAAGCACAGGTCTTGGTGACGACTACTGTGACCGTAGTCACACTTACCTCAATAACGTAAAAGTACATTCCATTACAGGAATCAATAACTCCTCTGAGATCTTTTAGGTGTGTGTAGTCATCCAGGTACCACCAGAGGACGGCTGGAATGAAAAAAAAAAAAGAGATGAATTACTATCTACCCCAATATCACCCTCTGTAGTCTCCTCCACTCCGCTGGCTGAGACTCAACAATGTGATGACTGAGTTTGTTAGCACTATGATTAAGCCCTTAAGTTATTAGATTAGAGGTGAGATGGTTATGAAAACAGAAAACAGACATTCAGTGCTTGAGGAAATATCAAAACAGAACTAGACACTAGAAACCAGAGTGAACCATGGATGATGCCATTAGAAAGCACAGGAGTGATTGTTTTTCCTTCAGAGCTCCTACCAATGGACTACAGAGAAAGAGCTGGCGTTACTGTTCGCCTTAGTGCCTGTAGTTGAAATCACAGGGCAAAGTGACTCCGCCACTCAGCCAGGAGAACCAGCCTCCAGCAGCTCTGCCAACAACCCTCCACCCACTGTTAACAGTATGAACTCAACATTCACTGTGCGAGATTCAGTGAGATTTACAAGATTGAGGTTAAACCTTCCAAAAAAATTTAAAACTGAGATAAAAATGAAATAAGAAACTACATTAATATGATACAGTTTTATCAAATGGAGATGTGGGGAATTCAAATTTTGCTGATAAATATACTAACTAAATGTAGTGTTAGTTCAGGCAGGCCACAAAGTCAAGCTCAGCCCACAGTGCATCAGCTGATAGCTTAGCCATAACCTTCTTCACATCCAACTGGCAGATTTTAAAATGAGTTGTGTTTAAATTGCATTTGCCTGCTTACTCTTGCCACTTCCTCCACAAACCACCTCCCCTTCAGCTTCTTTTCATTCTGTTTCTGGGCAAAAGAGGGCAACTTCTTTTTTAATGCTCGCCACAAATCAGTGTATGAAAGAAGATACAAAAGAAAACTGAAAACAGCCAGAGGGTGAGTCGGTAAAGGTTAGAGGTTTTTCTCTCCTAGCAATCCCCAGCTTTATTGATACAAACACTCACTGCAGCCGCGTTACCTGACAGCTGATAATAAAGGTATAGATGAAAACTCAAGCTTTGGATGGTCTGCTTGCATTATACACAGTAGTATCCAATTAATGTGGAGGTTTTGCCGCTCTGCTCATTCTCACCTCCATTGTCTCTGCCAGTTAAGCTCCAGCTCTCTGAAGGTAGAAGATAATGATCAGCTCAGTGAGGATGAGCATCATAAGACAGAGGGAAGACAGAGCAAGAGGGGTGAGGGTCCATTGTTTTATTCTCTAATGTTTCTGTGATGAGAAACTGGTATCACTGAACTGTAATAACTGTGATGCTGCACAGCCACCCCTTGAATCTCAACCCTTCTTAAGGCGTCTTGATTGGACAGGCCAAGTTTTTGCGCTGCTGACAGGGTATTAAAGAAAGATAAGAAACTGGATTCGTCTTTTTTTGAAATTTTGATGAAGACCCCTAAGTGAGGAGTAACCTAATTTTTTCCCTTGAAAATTAAAATATTTTTCAATCACATCTGGCATTTTGCTAAGCGTATTAAGTGCTCTGTCTCGAATGAAAGCTTTTCTCTTTGAATAAGCTGCACACAAGCTTAACTGACCCTCGGGGGAAAAAAATGCTGTTTTCCTCACACCAGCCACCTCAAACTCACAGGCTAAAATCCATTGAAGAAGACAAAGAGGTCTGTGCACTGACACTCAGTGCAGATTCTCCAAATATGATTCAAACAGACTTGCAATAACTTCCTTTCAGTCTCTTTTATTACATGTCATATCTGCAGATGAGATGAGCTGAAATTGGTGCTTTCTCTCTCTCTGCCTCTCTCATTGTTAACTTCCACTCTCACAGTGTTATATCATGTCTGTGTGACTTCAGTGATTCTCCTGCCAATTACCTCCACTCGGATGAAGTGAACGCGGCAGAAGTTTCAGTGAAAGCACACAATTACCACCCGAACAGAATTTATAAAGAGTTTGTTTTGAAGCCTTTCAGTGTGACGTTGTAGCTTTTTCATCAAGCTTCCTGCCAACAGAGTCACATAATCAGAGTGAAATTTGAAGTGTGTTCCAAACAGCGCAGTGAAATCTTAACAATATGTCTAAATGTTTCATTTGATTAAATACATGCCTCATTATATTAAAACAAAAGTCAAACCAGATTCAAGTGAGTTATAGTTAACTTCACAAAGGTTTTAAAAGTATGTGCTATTTTGGATTATTGATAGGAAAAAAGGCTGGTCTACAGGGCTGTTATGGAAATGAACCTCAGGCTCATAAACCTCACTTTGGCACAGGGAAACGAGAGGCCGTCTGAATAATTCACATACATATTAAATTTTAAAGCAAAGGTTTATTTGTATATGCTCTCCCTCTCCTGGTAATTTGCTGCGCCTGGTACGCCCTTTGCTGTATTGCTGTACATCCGAAATATATCAAGAGAACTTCAGCTGAGCAGTGATGATGAAACACTAGCTGGGCCGCTCAGTAACATCTTTGTACTGCTGCCATGAAAGCACACACTGGCTGTGAGTCACACATGCAGACAGGATGAATAATTGAAGCTGTAGACAGAGTTTGGTTTAGAGCTGTAAGCTGATAAGAAAGTGGACCACTTCATCTAAATAAACAGGTCTAAGATTGGAGCTTGTTGTGGAGCAGGTAATTTGCTTATCGTAGCCTAAGTACTGCTGTGTTTTTCCACATGGCTTCTCTCAGCACAGAAGAGTGTGTTCCTGAAGGAGGCCGCTTGGGATAAAAGTATCTGAAGGGAATAAAAGTATCAAACACTCTGAGAACATCCTTTCATCATCCTCATGGCGTTTGTGTTCCTGTGTGCATACATGC